TAGTGGATGTGTATAAGAGCCCGTGAAGAGAGCCTCTCTTGTGCCGCGAATACCACTTTTTGCAATAGAAACAGCGGATATTTTAAGCTATCCTCAAAGACAAAGGGCCAAACTAAAAAGGCACAATGCATACCTTCATCTCCTTCAAGGAAAAAAGGATCCAAGATCCACCCCTTGTTATTAGCAGGAGCCCATTAGCGGCTCCTAAAATAACTGGCTGTTAGCAACAACACTTCCAAATTCTAATTCGATCTGAACGGACTAACACGTTTCAACGAGTTCCCGGTGAACTCCTAAGTGGTCCGTGGGTAAACAAATTACAAATTTACAATTTACAATTTGGACAACGAGAATTTCAGATCCTTGATAAGGCCTGATAAATGCGTAAGGTCAACGTTAAGCCAGTCAGAACGGTTGTACTGCTCTCGTCACAAATGTTGCTTCCTAGCAAGCAAATCTCACAATAATCTACATGAAAGGGGTTGGCGGATGCAAGCAACACTGTTGACCGAGTGGCAGTGCAATTGTTTTTATAATACAAGAGTAGGTTATCTTTAATAGGAGTTTCAATATCCTACAAGGAACGCAAAAGAGCTGGTTCGAGAATGTCAAAGCTATACCAGGAAACCTTTAACGTACTGTGAAAATAATAATTCAGATCCAGCTCGCGGGAAACTTTGGTAACAAACCTTAGAGGTTATTAAACCACTTTTCAAAAGAAGAAAGGAAAACTAAGAGGTTCAGCCAGCCTGGTGGAACAAAGATAAGAACCCACAGGCAGCCACTGAACAGTAAAAGACCACATAACCTCCCAGTAAAAGAACAGCGACATAAAAACATTTGCTCAATCCGCACTACGAATCCTCCAAAACAGACTTTACTCAGTAAGGACAAAATTTGTAGAAGTAAGCGACGTATTAGCAAGGGATGCCTTGTGGGCATACCAAATCCCCTCTTTTATTTTTTTAGACGAAGGCTTAAACACGTTTTGTGATCCAAGTTTACTACACACTTAATGAAAAAGAATTAAAAAAATATTATTGATTCACTTTTGTTCTAAAAGATTCGTTGGTCAACAAAAAGAGACCTCTGTGGCCTGTGCGGGGGATGCGAGCCCACCCGTCACACCCCCCCCCTCCCTATGGGCATATCTGGTTCTGATATTCTCTTGGCAATTTGAAGATCCTGTTAAATTAACTTTTATACAATAAAAAGTTTCTGGAGACTAGACCTTGCCTATTTTAGAGAAAAAAAGGATCTAAGTTTTGACGAACTTGCCGGTCCTGTGAAAAAGATGGCGATCTCGCAACACGTAACTCGAGTATTTAAATGGTATTATGTGTATCGTTTAATTTGTACTTGCTATGTACTATGTAAATGCTGTGAGTTTCAGCTGACTACATTTATGTAATGGGAAACAGTTATAGTTAAAAACTGTAGATGTAGATGTAGAGGAAGCCACGTTTTGGTTGGATAGAAGAGCATGCGCTCTGAGGTCAAGATAACCAGATTTTTTTTCGACTATTTATGGACTGGGTTAGGGTTAGGTTTAGGATTAGTACTCAAAGACTAAAGAGATGAAGGACTATCAGTTGTTTGGGGCCTTCGCCCACTTTTTATTGACAAGAAGAAGAAGATGCCGGAGAATTCTGGACGAAGGTTGGCTCAAAATCATCTTGACAGCCTTATTTGCCTAATTTGTGGCAAGGGCACCCATCGAACGCGCCTTAATTATTTCCTCTCATATTAATTACTTTCTGTTACGTCAGCAATCTTCATTACAGATACAATAGAAGGCGGATGGAAGGAAAACTGCATATATGAAGTGAGTGGATTGAATAGATGTGCTTCTGTTAATCAAGGTACGATTACTTTTTTTGTTAATTCGGCGATTGTGATTCAACATTCAAAACTCTTTTGGCACCTGCCACGAAAGAAGATACTTAGTATACTTTTAGCGACGCTCATTTGTAAGTGTTGTGGAGAAAAGGTAAACGATTCTTCAAGTTAAGTTTCTAAGTAAAACATAGGAACCACTGAATTGAACAATGTCTTCTATTTACTATCATTCACAAGGGTAAATGAGCTAATTCTTCAGTCTTTAGGGTGTCGTAGTATAGTACAACAGCAGCTAAGTTAAGCGCGCGCTCTTGGCCTTTTAGTGCGCTCGTGTTCTATAAAGAGCATAAGACTGACTGAAATATGCACGCGCAAATTGGCAATTTTATACGATTCAACATAGCAACGTTATAGCACCGACTTCATAAATTGAGAACTGAGATCGTTAAGGTTTAGTTTGTTTATGTCATAAACGATATTGTAACATGCAACTAGAGACAGAGACCTTTTACGTGATTCAACTTCCTTCAACGATTATCACCACGTG